CGGTTTGTCCTAAAGGTATTTAACTCCGTGTTATATTTGTCATTGGATACTTACAAATAATTTTTTCGTCTTAATTGTGATAATTGAACTATTGTATACTTATTATATTTGCTTATTTTTCCAAATTCAGCCAACTATTGCTCACAAATGGCATTATTTATCTATATATAGTTTACTTTCTGAATAGGTTATCTCCCTTACACCATTGGTAATCTATAAAATGTCTGTTAATTGATATCAAATACAATGTTATAAAACTACTACTTCTGATGTCAGGAAATATTCAACCGAATCCAGGTCCCTCATCAATCAGTACTAATCAAAGTAACTACTATAATGATTTATCAATAATGCACTTAAATGATAGATCTCTTCGGAACAAGGTTGATCTTATAGATACTGAATTCACTGACTATGACATTCTATGTCTTACTGAAACTTACCTGAAAAATGAAATAGCTGAATCTGATTTGCAAATTAAATTACATCCCAACTCATATCGTAGAGACAGACAATCACAACACGGTGGTGGTATTATGATATATGCTAAAAACAAAGTCTTAATAAATCACAGAACTGATCTTGAAACTAAAGATATAGAACTTGTTATCCTAGAAATTAACACTTCTAATAAAAAAATACTTCTCTGCTGCCTTTATAGACCTAATACAAAAATAGATTACTGGAATAAACTTGATAACATTTTGGATAATCTTTCTAATACTAATCTTAATATCATTATTACTAGTGACATAAATGTTGACCTTATAACAATGAAAACTAATTCACATCTTGCAAGATTAATTACTAAATATCACTTTAAAAACTTAACACCATTACAAACACTACTGCTACCTTAATTGATGTATTTATTACTAATAATGTTAACATTTTTAACTCAACACAAATACTTTCCACTCTCTGTAGTGATTACTGCCCCCATTCTTGCTAACATTTGTTTTAAAACTCTAAAACATAAACCATTTAAGAAATCTATATATAAATTCGATGAAGCTAATTGGGATGCTAATTATTAGGATTCTATAGTTAATAATACTACGAGCATTAATGAAATATATTCCACTGTTATAAACAAAATACACTCTGCTACTAAATCCCATATACCACATAAAACAATTAATGTCCATCTTGATGACAAACCTTGGATGACTTGTGAAATTCGGCATAAATTAAGACATAAGAATAGATTACATAGAATAGCTAAAATAACAATAGGGAACATAATAGGGAAAAATTTAGAATTTGCCGCAATGACACTTTTACACTTATTCGGCAATCTAAAGAGAATTACTTTAAGAAACTTCAAAATTGTCTTACTTACAAATCATTGCATCCAAGAAAAGGGTGGCAGTTAGCGAAATCTATCGGAAAAAAGACTAACACTAGCACTAATTCTTATCCTCTGAAATTTTCATCCATCCACAAGATAAAGATGAAGCACTAAATAACTTCTTTACGACCATTGCCTCTGATATTACTGACACTAACCTACCTGACTTACCTCCCTTATGCACATTTTGAACTTTATAATACTAACATAACTGAACAAGATAAAAATGACCAATTTGACATTCTTAATAAAAACAAACAAGCTGGTCCTGATGATATTGTAACTATGGTTGTAAAGAACATTTCTTCTTCTTTAGTATACCCACTCAAACTATTATTTGATAGGACATTACATATTGGAGAAATACCTGATGTATTAAAAACGGCTAATATTACTGCTCTCTATAAAGGTAAAGGAGATTTCAGCGATCTCAATAATTATAAACCTATTGCCATTACATCATTTTTTTATCAAAATGTTAGAAAAAGTTATTTTTAAATATACGTTTAATTATATTTCAAGTCACAATATGTTAAGTGTACATCAGTCAGGATTCAACCCAAAGACTCCACTACTATTTTGAATATACGTTTAATTATATTTCAAGTCACAATATGTTAAGTGTACATCAGGTCTAACATTTTACAGTAAAGGAACATGGGCAGATCACATTTCAAATATTTATCAAAAAGTTAACTCTAGACTAAGTATTCTTAGGATTTTGAAAACTACTGTTGATAGGAATACATTAAAAACATTATATATCTCTTATAAAAAAACCTGTGTTAGAATATTCTGTCATAATATGGGATAGTTGTACCAATTCTGAATCAGATCTTCTAGAATCAGTTCAACTAGAAGCAATGCGTATAATTACTGGCCTCAGACGAGGTACAAATCATCACATTTTGTATACTGAAACACAACTTGAAACATTACACACACGAAGACAAAATCATTAACTTACATTAATGCATAAGATTCGTAATAATTACACTCAAACTTATCTCTACGATATCATTCAATCATTTCTAAATGTAAATAATAAATATACTTTCAGAAATAACAGATTCTTAATATACCACAGACAAGAACTACTACTTATATGAACAGCTTCTTCCCTTCTACAATTGTTAAATGGAATGCACTTGATAGCACCGTACGAGACTCCATCTCAATTTCATCCTTTAAAAAGAAACTTAAAAAAAATATTGATACATCTGTCTCAGGAACTTTTATCAACTGTGTATTGAGTAAACTTAACATCATTTTATGTCAGCTTACAAATAAAAGTGATCTTAACTTTGATAAGTTACCAGACCATCTGATTGATGATGCTTCCTGTATATGTGGTGCACAGAGGGAAGATTTAATACATTTTTTCTTTCCATGTCCTCTCTATTCAAATATTAGACATCATATTACCACTATTTATAATCTGTTAGGATATTTAAATCTGCACTGTTTATTATATGGTATTAGGAATGCATCTGACCAATTAAATAATACTATTCTTATACATGTTGACAAAATACTATTCATGTTTTATAATAATTATTATTATTATTATTCAGGCAAGTTTTGTCCTTTAGACAATGCGTACATACTACACATGAGCTAGTTTGAGTGTGGGTGTGCATGTGTGTGAGAGGAAAACTAACAACATTCTATATATTTAAGCATTTTATATAGCTTGAAGAAGACTGATATAGGCATAGCCTGTTGTCTGATTCTTTTGTCAATACTGTACTTCATCTTTAAAATTTACTGATATGTTTGTATTATATATGTATTGTCAATAAAATACTTTTTAATTGAATTGATTTGAGTCATCCTGATAGTGATGCTATTACCGTAGATGTGTCAAAAGGCCCATTCAACTCACTAGGCATAATTGTACCAAAGCGATACTGATGGCGACCAGAAACGTTCCCGTATCCACATGATCAGGTGTATGTGTGGCTCAAATTCTGTGTAATTAATTACTATAAACCGGCATTCGATATATGCCAAAGAAATCGTCATATTCGGTGAAAGCCCGTGAAAAACGACCATCACTACCATGTTCACTCTGTATATGGGCGAATCAGCTTACTATCAAGAAAGGGAAAGTTCCCTACAGGTAAATCGATGTCGTCATGCCTGTCATACAGCTTAGTAGTCCTTTGTTTCAGGTTCATGGAATAACTTAATAATAAATTGACCTAACAGATACAACAACGTGTCGAGTTTTGGGGTTTACTCCTCCAACTACCGACCAATCAGCCTTACCAGCCCCGTAGTCAAAATTATGGAGTCCATCATAAGAGATACCTGGTCTATTCTACCCCGAGAATATATCTCAAAATATTTACGTTAAATCCGATTATATATATATATATATATATATATATGTAGTTTGAATTTTTGAGAAAAAACAACAACTTCAAAGTATGATTTCATTCAATATTTTTATTATATTATATAAAAACACACGTATAGTTTTATAACACAAAATATATACATCAGATCAATATTGTACCTAAAACTGCAGACGATACGCCGAAGTTTCTACCTGTACATCTATCTGCATGTGTCATGCTTTACTGTTAATGAAACACTGTGGAATATTCACATTAAATTCGAGGAGTGTAACATCATATTTGTAGACAATTGTCAAAGTCAAAAGTGAAGCAGATCTCTTGGTGCTAAAACAGTCCCATGGGTTATACATAACACAAAAGGGTAATAAAATATAAAAGAGAGAAGTATTGCAAAACGTTAAAAATATCTTTTTCAAAAGTGATTATAAAATGCAAAATAAGCCATCCTTACGAATACTGACATATATATATATATACATACAGTATATGCATATAGAACAAGGGACTGATTAGTAGATACATGAGAGTTCAAGTCTTTTGATGTGTAAATCATATTATCCGCATTAAATTTTAAAAAAAATACAATTTTTATACACATCCTTACAAATACGAGGAATTATATAAGTACAAAATCAGTTATTAGTAACTACAACAAATAGAAGTAACGGACACAAATAATTGTCTATAAACAGATACAAATATAACTATAGGTAGACCACAGGTACAAGCCTTGTCTGTCAATACACCTATGATATAATCGTATAGGTGTATTGACAGACGAGGCTAGTACCTGTGGGTAGAACTTATACTAAATAAATTCTGAACTATTTACTTACAAAGGTTTGTTTTTAAATTTGTGTATCAATACATACATGTATGTATTAGACGTAATTTACGCAACACAACGGGAAGTCATTGTCTGAATTTCCAAACCTCAAACCCCCAGTACGTCACAATCACAATAGCATACTTCCGTCTCTTCCTTGACAGAGAGTGACTGTCTAGGTCTTTCTTTAAACATAATATTAAAGACTGGATTATAAAGATCAAATTATAAGTAACCATGAGGCTGTGAAGCGAAAATGTTTGACCGATTCTGTTCTAATGTTTATCATCTCTGAACTATCATGTCAATACATACACACGAAATTCTTATTCACTTATAGACATTTAAGCATATAATCGCCGATATTCAAGCAGCTGCAAGAAAACTTTTGGAACACCCTAACTAGACTGGCAATCAGTTTTTATGAAGAATTTTCCAGCTGCATTTTACTTCGAACTTATCTCCTCTTGATTGAGACCAGCCATCCAAGTAATCAAAATTATAAGATTTTTATTTTTAAATAATTCAATATTCAAGACGGGAGCCAGTCTAAACCCAAACCTACGGAAACAAAATTGCAGAACAACGAAAGAAAATAAAGGTCATTGAATGGAAAAAAACGTTTAACCACATAGAGATCAGGTTTAGAACGTCATTACATTCTGCCTTTGAGGGGTCAAATATACAAGTTAAACTAAAACGAAGCACTTGTTCACTTATAATTATTCAAAATGTCAAGAAAATACTTATATTCCAATTGAATGTCACGGCGGCAAGACAAGCCTAGACAATTACTTGCAGACCCATCTCCTGTAGGGCAGAGCTCCATATGGTTTCATTTGTAACGTCATAGGGTTCTAGTTCTTGTTTTATTGGTTTCAAATATGGATCGCTTCCATTCAGATCGGAACTGCGGACCTCCATTTCAACCCCGCTTAGGACAGCAACACCAGTTCCGGCTTTGCACTTGACAATGGAGATTGGCTGAGTTGGAAGTTGAGAATAAAGACCCAAAACCTTATCAACCGTTCCCATGGGAATGTCAGATGTTGTACCGTTTTGCTTTCCACCAGATTCCGCTTTATACGGAACGAATAAGTTGCCGCCATTGAAATAGATCTTGCTGGAAATACTTCGAGGACCCGGATATTGGAAGAAGTCGACTGGAGCTGCGCGAGCACCCCTTTCATCGTCGTAGCTGTAGGGACCATATGCTGGTCCTATTCCCTCACCTATCATGAAAAAAACATTGTGTAACGAAAGAGTTGGAAAATGCACTGAGAATGATATTCTTGACAAACCACATTGCCACGTTATTTAAGGAGGCTCCACCCTTTCGCAATTAGCCAGCAGAATTCAATGAAAGTTTTACATAATGGGTATGTCACTATGTAGAGATGAT